TTCTGCACTACTATACTAAGGTACTAGGGCACTACTATACTAAGGTACTAAGGCACTACTATACTAAGGTACTACTAACGCTGGAAGCACTGTCTGACGTGTCTGCCTCCGCGAGGCGATAGGAGAAGCTGCGATGGAAGGTGATGAAGATTATGGTAAATTATATTACTGTATTTTTGTGTCGATATTTTACGTGCTGTTCAAACTTTGTCTGAGAAATAAAAATTTTATTTTGCTGTTCTTGGTATTCACATCGCATTTCATTACTTCAGTAGGCGCACTATTCCCATTTTCAATGTCGTGGAATTTTCCCATCGCACAGAACACGCGTGAATGACCATGTGAACAAATTAAGCTGGAAATTAATTATTAAAGTTCATAATTTATTGAAGTTAACGTGTAATTTGTTTGTGCTACAATGTAGCTATCTGCAACAGGGACATTTTCAACTAATAAGCTGTTTCTATTAAGACAACGTTGAATTAATATAGAAACAAAAATAACAGAGATGACCTAACTATGGTTTCATTCGTAGTTGCTCGACAGGAGGTTTCTCCAACTGGTTGAAAGAATCTAAAGCTCCTGGAATAAAGGCTGAAGACGTCCAGCGGGCATACTGCATGGTTAGATGATGCGATGTCAGCCTATCAACGTGGAAGATGGCTATTGATTCAGCTTTACTACGATTAGCTGGCTAAAATATGATCCCAGATGTTCTTAATCTGGGGCAAGCAAATATACACTGTTGGTCTGCGAGCCGTTTCATTGAAGCATGTCACTGCAATTTCCGCTCGCTGTGTTGAGGAGACGGAATGATTACGGGGCGAATAGTGACCATGATAAATGGAATCAATAGCATGAGGGCTAAAGCAACTGTGATTCTTCTTGCCATCGCTGATGCAATGAGTCCGAGTGCCTACCTCGTGAGCTTCATAATGATGGACAGAATTTCGCATTTCTTTGGAAGGACGAAGTAAAGTTGAATTGAAGCTGCACATAATGCAAGAATGTACGGAGTGGGCCTCTGAGATATTACATGAATAGACACGTTTGTGAATAATAGCAAACTTCGAGGGAATGTTTAACCGGAGTATATGCAATAAAGTTCATCAAATTAAAGAATATTCCATGTTACTTGGAAGAACAAGGAAGTTAACACGCAATTTAGAATAGATGGTATAATTTAGAATGTACGGTATTTTTAGACGTGGAAGAGTTGAAAAGTCTATCCATGAAACAGTTGTTTACCGGAAGGTTTTGTAGCGCAGTAAACGAGCAAAATCGTGGAAGGTTTATGCTCCTAGTTTGCTAACATTAAGTCTGTACTGCTGTTAGTATGCGATAACGGTAAGGAGTCAATAACTGATCGAGTTGCCAGATAAACATAGGGCAAGTCAGA